GTGTTCAAAAATCTTAATCTGTTATATAATAAATGTAAAAAGAATCAGTTAAATCCAATGTTCCATTTAAAAGTTACAGACGTTTCAAAAAAAAAACCATTCTAACTGAAAGACCCTGTAGTTTCTGCCCGCCTTTTCAGCTTTCATAATTGATGAGCATGTCGCCTACCTTCTAGCAAGAGGGTATTAATGTGTACTCTTTTGTCAGAAGAGCCTTTTAAGATCTTTAATGAAAGAAATATCTCGACCTATATAAGAGTCTGAACTACGTTTATCGTCTATTAAAAAATTTAAAAAACGGTGTCACAAAATGCAGAAATACGTCTGGAAAAAATAACATCTTCAAAAACTACTAGTTTTGCAAAAACGATTTTGGAACATTTTTGCGCGTCACAATAGCTCAAAAGGCAAAAAAAAATTAAGTTTTTTGTCCCCCTGCCGACGTTTCAAATTTGCTGTTAGCACTATGGCAAAGCTTACTTAGTTTTTCATATTTGGTGGAAGGGGTGAAAAAGAGGAAGAAACGGTAAAAATAGGTTAAAAGAAAAAGTTGCCTACTTCTGGAATCGAACCACCGACCTGGAGGTTACTAGTCCTACCTCGCAAAACTACAGCTTGTTCTTGAACTAGGCACACACTAGCCACCAAAAAAACGAAAAGTACACAGTTTAAAAATTGTCAATACTATGCAGCAAAAATATTTTACGCTCGCTAGCTGTCTTACCACAAACCACCTTCAATCTCTGCTTATCTTTTGAGACTTAATGCTTCTGAAACATGGTTGAAACTAGAGCTCGGTCCCAGTTTGCCTGAGAAGGACTGGAAAAGAGCCAAAATTAGTAATGGCGCTTCAAAACATTGAAATCCGAAATAAAATTACTTCTAAACAGTAATCTACATCAGAGCAGAATGTTTAAAATATGATCTAGATATGCATTAAATCTGAGCAATCTACGCTAGTTAAAACACCGTAACTAAAATTGAGACTTTATCTCCCCAGAGATAGACTTTTAGGAACATATCAAGGAGATTAAATTTCAACATTTACTAGTGACAAGTTCATAGTTTTGAAGATGGTTATATTAAATATGCTGCGTAACTTTCTTGAATCGTATCGAAAATTCTTGAATCGTAAGAATTTTTGGATCGCAAATAGTCATTTAGAAACTGATGCAGGTCCAGAGACCTTATTCTGTCTCGTACCCAGAACACAGAAGGATGATGGCAGCCTTCATTGTTAGAACCGGAGTCGTTTGTATCGGCGCTTCTTCTACTTGACTATCACCGATTCCCATCATCTAAGATAAAAGCAATTGATAACATTTTTCGCAGAAGTAAATTAAATTTAATCAAGCTGAAGACCGCAACAGTATTTGAAAAGCAAAATAACCCAGAGAAAACTCGCTGAAAAAAGTCGCTTTCTTTATGGCTGACTAATGTTTTTGGCTGACTAACCCTATATTTTTTCGGAAGGAGCCCTCGGCGCCAGCCAAAACATACTAAATTTGAGAGGGTAGTGCGTGCCGAAAAAACGCGATTAAAATTGACCGGAAAATATGAATACTAACTTCTAATGGTTAGGCTGACTTACCACTGTTAGCTATGATTTGATTCATAGAAAAAAAAATGACTGAAACACTGCTAGCAAACTGAGGGATCTTTCGTTAGTCGCCACTGAATAATCGTGAAAAAAAAGGACAAGAGCTACGAGGAATGAACATCACACCAACAGATCGTACCTCAAAATTCTTTTACGACTGAAAATTTTTGGAAAAAAAAAGTCGATAGAATTTGCCCAATAGTGTGATTTTTTATTTCACTGGGAAATCTGATTTTGAAACAAAAAAGGCCATCACTTTTGTTGCATTATTTGCACCGTAAGTTTCTTTAAAAAACGCTCAAAGTCCAGAATTTATTTTCTGCAAAAAAAGTTGTGGCCACTTAAGCAGAGCTAAAGCTGGGTTTCTTGATTGAACAATCTGAGAATTGGCCCGGTAAGTTTTCGCGTAAAGTCAAAAAGTTTCCAAAAACTTCAAAACTTTGACTTATTTGAAGGCCATAACTTTTTTCAAACAAACTGGGCATGGCATAAACAAAAAAAAGTAGACTTTCAACAACTTGTTGCTACGATTAAACCAATGATATCAGTCTTGGCAGGATAGTTAGCGAGAAAAGTCCAAAAACGGTCAAATGAAAAATTTGACATTTCCGAAAATCATAGCTTTTTGTGAGAAAAAAGGCATAGCTGCTTAAGGCAACCTGTTTTTCGATTGAACCCAAATTCTTAGATTTGGGAGGGTAGTCCCAAAACTTACAAAAAAAAACAGTCAAGAAATCAAAATTTTGTCTTTTCCGAGTGCCATAATTTTTGGTGTCAGAGAAAACTGAACGTAGTCGCAAAAAAATTGAGCTTCCCACAACCCGCTCTTTGAAGTGAACCCAAAATCTCAATGGCACGGCAGTTATCGATAAAATTCAAAAAATTTAACGGTCAAAAAATCGAAAATTTGACTATTTACTTTTTTGTGTAAAAAATTTTGTGAAGGCCCCTAATGCAAGAGAGCTTCCTACTACCTGTTATCTCCATTTAACTCACAATATCAGATTTTAGAGGCTTTTTTTCGAGAAAAGCCAAAAAGATTCACAAAACGGTTAAAAATCAAAAATTTGACTATTGCGAGGGCCATAAATTTATTTGTAAAAAATATGGGTAATATTCTCCCACATACTTTTTCGAAGGCTGTAGACAGAGGGGTCAAGTAAAAAGAGACTCTAGGGAAGTATGCAGGCACAATAGGGAAAAGGCGTTCTTTCAATTGATACACGTTTTTTGAAAGCAGTAAAAAATTGAGAAAAACTAAAAGTTTTCCAATAATTTTGGAAATAATTTTCCATAACGAAAAAAATTCAACAAACCAATTGGTAAACATACAACCAACTTGAAAAAAGCGGATGGGAATGTTTCCTTCGAAACGACCAAAAGAGAAGTCATTAAGCCGATAAATAATAGGCCAAAATAATTTGGGCCGAGGAAATTTTTTAGGCGAAATAAAAAAAAACAAAAGGAAATACGAAGTCAAGGTAAGTAAAATTACAACTTGTGCAAGTAAACCAAACAAAAAAAGCAAAGTTAAAGAAAAATACACGCAGCTAAAAAAAGATTTCAAAAGGTAACAACTAAGCCCGACAACAGATACCAAGACAAATAATTGGCCGACAATTTTATTTGAAACAGAACAATTCCCGTTTAAATAAAAAACAGGTCATGGTCAGAATCGAACTCAGGACCTTTGCCGTCCCAGGCATATTCGTTAGCTCCAAGCTTATTTGACCAGGAACGCATAGAAGTTTTAACTCCTTATACTCCTTATGAGCCAGGATACAAGTGATTCTGTTAAACAAGCATTTACCCGAAAAAAGTCCGGTTTAATAACGCTTGCTAATCCCGAGCAAAAAAATCATAAAAAACGCCATGTGTCGAATAGAAAAGAAGAGATTTGAGCATTCATATCTCGAGGAGAAACATGCAACGCCATAGTGCACCCTGAGAGCCCACCAGAGAGTTGAGAAATTCAAGTTCTGTAATTATTTTTTTAAAAGTTTTAAGCAACTACAATGAAAATTGCTTACAGCGAAATAAAATCGATGACGTGACAACTAAGCCGACAAAACTTGAGCAGACAAACAAAAGTCCGATAAATCAATTTTACCGGAAAAATATTTCAATTGCATACATACTGAAAGCTCAAACCCCAGATATTAGGCGCAAGGGCAACTGCGTTACCTCAAGGCCATCTGGGACGGAAACTGAAAGTTATTAAGGTTCGACAAAAAAGCAAGTTCAAGTTTAGTTGCTTTGGGGTAAAAGTTTTAAAGGCCCGATTACAAGACACTTGCTCTCGCAAGCGTAATAATAAATCAAGATCACCAATTTCTTACTGATTTGTACAAAAATTTGTTAGTGGGAAAAGTCTATTTTCTGATATCAAATACACTTGCTCTCACCAGTGAAAAGAAATTTTTTTACAGAGGCGAAGCTGCGCTTCGCAAACACTTGTGAGAACACGACCAAAAGCCAGCTCTATCAAGTGAAATAAGAAAAAGCAGAAATAAGCCTCGAATTAGCAAAAACTTGGCTAGGTGTAGGATTCGAATCTGCGACCTACTGCAATCAAGAGATTTTGAGTCTCGCGCACTATTCACTCAGCCACGCAAGCTAAACAACCGACAAAAACTAGTCATGAATAAGGATCTACATATGCTAATAAATTGCCAATGCAATAGACTCAATTTCGCACAAAATACAAATAGACTCAATAAACCATAAATAAAGTAATAAACCAAAATATAAAATAACAAACTGAACGCATCCACACTAACTTAGCATGTAACAAATCGCAAAGCATAAATCCACATTAAGTATAAACGAAGCATTTCAAAAAATTGCGAAATATATTGAGTTAGAAAATAGCTGAAATCGAGTTTTCATGATTGTTATGTTGTTTGAAACAAATGAATTTTTTCGGTTCATTTGATGAATTAAAATAACATGAACTGTGCTAACTTATTACTATTCGAATGTCAAAGCACATGCTATGAAAAAACTGTAAAGGTGCCCCAAAAACGGCACCAATGTTTGCGAATTAGGTGAGCTGTCGCAAGTGTAAGGGAATACTTGAAATTTGAGGAAAAACTCAAGCGGTGGCAACTAAACTATCGAAATAATCTAAAAAAAAAACACCTTTCCAGAGCAAAAATTTTCTAGAATGAAAAAGTACAGGTCCTAGTCCTGCACTTATCCAGGGTTTGAACTGTATTTTTCTAGGGTTAGAACTGTACTTTTCTATCTTACTTAACCCTGTACTTCTCCAGGATTAAGTAAGATCTACCTATTTCGCGCAGAGTCATCTTCCAGGGTTAGGACGACAAAGGCCTGCATCACAGACCTTTGCTGTTCTAACCCTGGACGATGACTCTGCGCCAAATAGGTAGATCTTACTTTGGTCATAACAAAACTTGGAAAACGATTAAAATTTGGAAAAGCTTAAATTTGGATACGCTTGCAAAGCAAACTCCTCAACCTAAAAACCCAACCTACGATGGTCGTCGCGGTCTTGCAATGAGCACATCTTGCGGCACTGGTACTAAAAGTTGAGCTCTCAAGGATCGGAGAATAACCTGCAAACCTCAGTTTCTCTTTTTTTCTTAATTCTGCTAACTCACGAACACTGATTTTCTCTAAATTAATCTGTTTGTAGTTTCGGGTCAGAGGTACTATCTAGATTTACAGGGCTTCCCACTTTTAGATCACTTTTCGTTTCCTGAGTGGAAGTGCCAGGATATGTTTAGGGCCCCGGACATCCTTGCTGAATCTTATCATCACCGCTACTGGAGGCTTTATTCTCATCAATATCATCTTTTTTCATCTTTTGTGGCGGTTTAAAAAATTTACCACAGCTTGACTCGCCAATACTTCGGACTGCACTGTTAACTTCAATTTTTCCTCTACTTTGTGCTTCAGACTTATGCACGTGACCATTGGTCGAAGTACTTGCTTGACAATTTCTTCATCAAGAACCCTGTCGACAGGAGCAGTCCATTACTATTAGAAAATCCTAGACGGCCTCGAGAATCAAGAGGCGCGTTTGCATCTTCATCATTGGTTATACTTTCTTCAACAAGCTCGTTCAGCTCCTGGCTGCGAGCTGACAAACATAGTTCCACTTTAGACCGCCTGCCTGTAACAGAAAGTCGATTTGCTTCACGAATTGCTATTCGACAAAGATTCTTCAAAGTCGGAATTGGCTTTAAGGGTAGCGTGGCAGTCTCTTTGCGTTAACTCTTTATTGGAGGGCTCAATTAGATCTGCAAAAACTAAGGATCTAAGTGGTAGAAGATCTCGGAGGTCTGATGTGAAGACGTCTTTAGCTGTTATTTATCAACAAAATCACTCTTTTTCAATTTTCAGGCCTTGACATAACAATTAATTTAGAATCTCCGTGTCTTGAGAATTTCTGTCACATATGCTAACTCAATTCATTAAAAACTGCAAAAAATTCACGTTTGAATTTCAAAAAGCTTTATGGGTTTTCAAAATTTTAGAATCGGATACCATACGAGGTGGTTGCTTCCCTCAGAACTTCCTCTATCTTAAGGCTATACCTATAAGAAAAAATGGACCAAGTTAACATCCTCCTAATGTGGCGGGGGGGGGGGGGGGTTAGCTGGGATATGTGACTGACTTTGACCATTGGGTCTCCGGGAGGGATAACTAGGAATCCGCATGACTTGACGAGTAGCTTCATGAACTGAATATGTTCAGAGGGCACAGCTGCACCACAGTAAATTCTGTCATATCTGAAACAAAAGAGAACATAATCATAACGTTCAGTAAACTAGCCTGAACTTTTCAATACACAAATTTAAGTTTACCAAAAGAAATTCGTGTAGCTTTAGGTTGGTATCGTTTTAAAGCCCTTACTAAGGTTATTTTGATTGTTTTTCATTATGTAGGTTTTGATTTTATTTATTCTCCTCGAAAATTATTGGAAAAAAAATCAAGTAAATGTAGAAACTTTCTGAGGATGGGCGCAATCTCTTTCGCCTGAAGAATTACGGCAACCGCGCATTGAACTTGTCAAAGTGGAGTGCCTCTTATGTAGGCTCCTATGCGCTCAGATTGGCTTATTCGATGCAGTCCTGATGTAAATCCTTTACGCGGTTACTTCCACGTGGTTCAATTATGTGCCCCATCATCAGATTCAAGTAGCCAGTGCCAGATCCTGGAGCAAAGAGAATGTAGACGCTTCTATGCGCCAACAAACTTCTATTCATAGTCCATTTAACAGAGGTATTTTAGATTGAAAAACAAAAAAACGCAATTTCATTTGTCTTTTTCAATCTAAAATACCCTTGTTAAATAAAAAAATGAATTCAAGCTGGCACGCATAAAATGAGTCCAAAACGTATCTTCAAAAATTTCAAGCGCTTATCTCGACTGATGTTTATAATCAAGAAAACAGTCACAAAACACATCTACTAGCTTTGATTTGCCATGTGCTAGCTTTGATTTGCTACAAGCTCAGTGTTGCTTACCGCGCTGTCACTAAGATGTCAAAACTTGAGCTAATAAATTTCAAAATTCAGAATTTTTACACACTGCCTCTCCTGAAACAATATAAGGTAACTAAGCCGATATAACATAAGCCGAAACTATTTAGGGTGAAGTAACATTACCCAGCCCAGAAAAATAACCAAAAAAATTGCACGAATTTCTTAAACAGGGGCACAACAGCGGTTCGCCGTGATGAGCTGTACAGCTCTTGTGTTGGTACTTTCCCCCGTAGATAAATGCTCTCAATCGATTTAAATCTATTTCAGCTTAAAAAAATTGAAAGGAACTTATTGAAAGCTTAAGTTAGTAAGCTTTCAAGCTACAGAACGACTTTCAATTATTAAAAAAATCTGTTCCAATCAGAAGAAAATTACATACATCAAAAAATAACAAGGAATAAGCAGACAAAAGATAGGCTATTCAAAAGATCTGAGAATAAATCTGATACCTATTGAAAAAACAAGGTACTGACGGGAATGGAAACCATAACTAAGGATCCCAAAGCAGGCGCGTAAAAGAAATGTTGCTTAACGGAAAAGTCTAGTTCCTGATTACAAGTGTATTGCTCTCACTTGCAAAAAATAATTTAATAAATTAGAGTTGATTTCAATTTTCACTCTAGCAGTGCACCATTTGAGCTCACCGGAAAGTAGTTATTTGGTTTACTACAAATGTGGAAAAGACTCGCCAAAGTCTTTGATGCATTTAGACTAACCGATATTTGGAATCGACAGTCCCGATTTCAAATCAAGTTCCTCAATTACATGTATCTAAACGCATGGAGCTGACAGATTGAAATTGCCTTCTCTCCATGCAAGATCTTTATATGCTGTTATGTTGGGTCGCCTCGGCAGACTTCGTGTCAGCTGATTCGTTGCATGTGATCCTTCAAAGTTTCCAGCCAGAAATGTATCCACGAAATGACCGCGATCGACTGCGCTGAAAACTTGTTCCACCTAGTGGGATCGCCTCGGCAGACTTCGTGTTTGCTTCTTCGTTCCTTGTGATCCTTCCAAGTTCCACCTAGTGTGACGTGATGTACTTTTTCTTTCACTGAATTGCTCACGAGGTCATTGTTGTTCAAACCTGTGGATACTGCACTCTCCATAGTTTCCCCAACACTGCCAAAGTTAACGTATCGAATTGCAGTGAAAATATCAAGCAAAAGAAACCTGAAACAAAGTAAATTTCATCAATCATTCAATTGTGAAAGAAGCATTTTTGAACACCGAAGCTTCGCATCACTTGCGACACAACGCAAGCGCAGCATTGCAAGCTAGCAATTATTAACACATGCGAAGCTGCGCATCGCAAACATTAGCAAGACCACGACCAAAAAGTAGCTTTATAAAGTGAAATAAGAAAAATAGAAAACAGCCTCGAATTAGTAAAATTTTGTAACGTATTGGAATCCAAACTGCAAGCATGAAATTTGGAACCTCACCTCCTGCGCTCTCAGTCATGAACGCTAAGCAATCGGCAATAACCAATCAGAAATAGAGCAGCTACATATGCTAATAAATTGCCAATGATAAGCAGCTAAAGTGGCAGCAAACACAAATAGACACAATTTGCATGTAATGATTGGAATATAACGATTTAAAGGCATCCACACTAACTTTGCATGTAATAAATTGGAAAGCAACAAGCCACATTATGAATAAAACACGCATTTCAAAAAAAATTTCGCTCTTGAAGTGACACAAAATAACTTAACTGAGCCGATAAAACATAACATGAAATCATTTGGGCTGATTAAAGCTTTTTAGCGACAAAACAAAAAAAAACATACGTCAGGGCCATTAATTTTTTTAATTACAGGATTCAATCAAAAATACTTGCACTTACGATGAAAATCGCTGGCAGCAAAATTATATTCCCCAATGTGACAACTAATCCGAAAAACATAAGCAGACAAACAAAAGTCCAACAGTTGATTATTTCCTGAAAAAAATTCAATTTCATACACATTGAAAAAAACATAAGATCCTGCCAGAACTCGATCTCAGGGTACAAAGGCAACCGCGTTACCTCTAGGCTAAGGGAAAAGCAGTCTCGAAGTTGCTGAGGTTCACTTATTAAGCAACTTCACAATTTCTTAGCAAATGTAATAATTTACACAGAGGCATCACTTGCGATACAAACTTGATTTAAATCAAACGGAAAATTAAAAAAAAAAACTCAATTGTTTTGGTCAATAAAAATATCATTAAAAAGCTACCTCTAGCAGTTGTGTCACATTTACGCCAGATGGGTGGTTGAATTTATAATTACTATGCGGTATTTAAGCCGAAAATACCTGAGCAGAAAACTTTCATGCCGAAAATAAATTTAAACATTCTTAAGCGTATTTAAAAAATTTCTTTTCCCCTCAGAGCACACAACCATTTTTTGATCATCGAACGACGCATTCAGAGGCCACTAGGTCGGTACAAATTAAATCGAAACTTGTTAGCCTGATAAAAAAGACAAAAAATGAAAAAAGAAATTTTGATAAATCGAGTTGGTAAAATTACGACCAGTATTAGAAACAAATTTCGGCTGGATTTTTAAAATGTTAAAACACTTCAAGCAATTACAGTGAAAATTGTTTGCAGCAATAAAGACGATTCTTAGATCTGGCAACTAAACCGACAAAACAAAAGCAGACAAATAATAGGCCGAATATTTTTTAACCGGAATATTTACCGTTTGTATAAAAACAGCTCCTAGTCAGTTTCGAAACCAGAACCTTTGCGGATCCAGGCGTATTCGTTACCTCCAGGCTAAGTGTACAGTAGACACTAAGAAACTTGAATTCGTTATGAGCCAAGGTACCACGAGTCCAGATGAGTCCTGTGGACAAAGTTGTTTATGAGAAAAAAGTCTAGAAGCCGATTGCAATACCCTTGCTTATCGCAAGGGTAAAAACGGAACACTTGAGAATTGTAATTTGTATCACGGCATCTATTTCTGCGATCGATCCAGCAACATGACGACTGGAGTCGGATTTGCGTAGCTTAATTTCTTTTGAGTTATCTAAAAACAACAAGCGAGCGGAGTAACTAAATTTATCATCTTATTTAATTTCAACAAATAGTTTTTAATAGAAAATTACAAAAATATGCTTTTTATTATCTTTATTGCAACGGCTAACATATAATATGATAAATTTACATTATTCTAATTTACTTATCATTAAAAAAGCAAACTGCCCAAAAAAATTAGCACCAAGTAAAAAAAGGTCGTTTCTCCTGGTACGTTTCTCTGAACTCTGAATCTTCATCTTTTTCTGTAGTTATCTGATTACCATCTCTGGCAGTACTTTGCTTTTCCACAACTCTTAACGGCAGCTCCACCAACTCAGATGGCGATAGCTTTTTACTCAAAGCCTCGCACAAATTCATGATTTGACCTCTTACAATTGACATTTGCTTTTCGAACATAGTTTTATTAAAGTTCTTGTCGATTGAGAAAAGTGCTTCCAATTCGGACACCAAATTTTCTACATTACTCAGATCTCTGAGTAGCGGCAGGAAATTGGCTATGGTTTGTTTAGAAAACGGAATTTCGGCATATGGCTGTAACCAAGCCCATTGGTACGGATAGGCTCTCCAAGTATCAGGGTGTTTGAAAGGGAAAGCTAATCCATTATCAATAGCAGCGATCGATATCAACGGAGTATTTACTACGTTCCAATTACCATCCGCTGTTTCACTATTCACTGCATTTGAGCTTGATTGCATATCATTATTTTGCGAAGGTGATGTCTGAGCATGTGATTCTACGTCTACTTTTATAAGCCAGTTATCACTTCCTCTATCTGTATTTCTCACTATATAATCAAGAATTACCAGTTTTTCGAAAAGCAGCTGAAAATTCTGCATTGATTTCTTGGGCATCGTTTCAAAAGAGAATCTTCTAAGCATCTCATCAGCGCCACAATAGTCTCGCATGAACAATTGAAATGATCCCACTTTTAGAGGAACTCCCAGCCTTTTGAACCTTCGCCCTAGTGCTGGAGTAGTCGCCATGATTCCCCGTTTAGCTGTACATTTAGCTTTTGTTAACTTAGAGTAAAAGAAAGCTTCACTTGCTAGCCATACTATTTTCGTTTTAGGTACGATTCCCAAGCCTAACCACTCATCAACGATACTTGCGCCCGCTTCAGAAAGATATCCTTGATTTTTTAAGAGGCAAGTTCGTCCAAAGCAACAGGGGCAAAATACTCTCTGACACCATTTGCCATACTTTGGATTCATTGAACTATATGGCTCTTCGCTTTTTGGCTTAAAAACAGCTATTATTTCATCGCTTGCATTTTTGATGAAATAACTACCACTTGATCCTTGTCTAATTCTAACAGGATCAACACCTATGTCAAATGCAAACTCAGCCTGTCTCACCGCCCTTTCAAAATCAGGATCATCTGGGAAACTGTTCAAATTAAGAAGATCAGGGGGATCCGGCTCTTCGTCTTCCTCGTCTTGACTAACCACAATATCACGAGACACTGTTGCACTAGTACCCGCGATCTGACCTGTTCTCGTAAACGAACCAGGTTGTTGAACAATAGTCGCTACGTCAGTTTCACTTTGTTGTTCGTCTTGGGTCGCATATCCTAGGTTGTCAGGCATTATTGGTTTCTGAAAAAAGAACAGAACATCTTCTTTCAATGAAATAAGTTTTTTTTTATTGACGACGGTTTTTGGGAGTTGACATAGAATCGGGACCAAGCTTTCAATGACTATGAACAATAAACGTATACCTTCCTAACAAAATTGCTTGTACATCAGGGCAAAGCCCTGAATGTTCCGACTGCACTTACGGCCAATTGAAAAGTTTTATTAGTTGAATAATTGCCAAACTTGAGGAAAAAATAAGTTTTTTCTATTTTTCTTCATTTTATCTCCCTACACGCTATGCAAAATACTAAGGGCGTTTTTAGCGTCCCACATTGTGATAATAAGATTAAATTGCTGGCCTCAATTTAAAGCATAGATTCACTTCTTACGTGTGTTATTAGTATGCATTATATCGCACTTTTATTATCCGAAATTGTCCCAATTAGCAAGTTTCAAACGCCCATAACTTTAGGAAAAATGATCACAGGAGATATATCTTTTTGAATTTAAGCTTAGGATAACAATATCTCTAAGATGGCATAAAAAATTCCGTCAAAAATGCTTAGTTAACAGATCGAAAATTGACTGAATAAAAAAAACACCAAGCAGAAATATTCCGCACTTTCTTCCGCACGAACGATAACTTCCTCAATGACTGTCACAATTGGACAAACATCAAGTAAAGCGCTCGGAGATATAGAAAGGAAGGAATTTTAAATTAGATATAGATTAATATCTATAAATCAAAACATATAGAACATTTATATTTTATTAAGTCTGCGCAGCAGGCGATCAAGGAAAAATTTTAACCGACCCTGTAGTTTACAACGCGTTGTAGGAGTCCCAAAACTTCGCAATCTATCAGAGGAATAGGTTGACCGCGTTGGCAGCAAGTCATAAAGAGATGACATGGCCCAGTCTGGAGGACATTATCATAAAGTTTGCGGTATGCGCTATTAATAAATATAGAAATAGGCTCATAGGAATCAATAGCCTCAAGTCGAACAGCACATTTTTGGAAATTGGCAATCCGATCTAGATCAGTAATATTCGAACCAACCCACACGTTCATGCCATAATATAATGTCGGTAGAACATAAGCCCGATATAACACTCCAAGCTCTTGTTTGGAGTAACCCAGTTTCCGGAAAAGCTATATTGAAAATAGGATAGAATTCGCTTACTGATAGAATACGCGGTTTTACTGTACTTTTGATGTGCTTACTAACGGATAGGCAATCATCTATAATGAAACTAAGGAGTTTTAATTCGTCGGCAATTTGAATACCGCTCACCTGGGCCAAGTTTTTGGACTTAACCTGATTGAAAATAATTCGCATTTCTTTTGTGAACGATGATAAATATTTTTGAACGTTGATAAATAAGTTCATCCTGTCAAATTGAGCAAACAAGGAATGGATGATTTCTTGGGCACTATCTATATTGTTATTACCAACAACAAGGGGGTTGTTGTAAGCATCAGCTGCCAATCGGGCTGTAGGATTAGCAACTTATGAGTTGCGTTATTGTACAGAGGCGGTCCTAGGACAGTCCATTGTGGAACACCCTGATTTGTATACAATACTCTTGAATTTTGGTCGTTGAAAACTGTTAAATGAGCCCTGTTATGCAAAAATTAATGATTGAATTGATGACCTTGGGATCAACAGCTGGTTCAATACTTTCATTAATAACACTCGTGTGTGATACCGTATCAAATGCTTTAGACATATCTAAAGAAAGGAATCTCACGTAATCGTATGCATCACAAAAGTTCCAGATATCATGCTGTAACCGAACAAGAAGGCAAGAGGTTGAGGCGTGCTTTCGAAAACAACACTGATGCGTCGTTAGCCAATTATTATAATTTTGTTTCAAATAGTTTTTATAAACAATTTGCTTAAAACCTCTTGGCATGGTTGAGGTGACAAAAACCAGGCCTCAAGTCTTTGGACTTTCTGGGAGTGGACATTTTTGGCAACGCTGAAATTTAAGCAATTTTGGCAATTAAGAAATCTAAGCGTCTGGATATACACCGTTTTGCAGCAAGAAGTTAAAGATACGGCAAAAAACCGATGCCAAATTGCATGGATTCTCTTTAAAGACCCAGTAAGGTAAGCCATCGGGGCCAGAAGCTGTGCGTTTAATACATTTGCTTCTTAAACAAAATTGTAGTCATGAAATTTCCGGGCACTCGCCACTGGGCTGATATTCAACAGCAACAGGATTCTGTGTTGCCGTTCATATAACATTGTAATATTCGTTTAATTGTTCCCTTGAAAACAAATGTGACTGGAATTTAGTCTTAATCATCCTATTTAATATTGTAGTAACCACCAACTTTTGCTTGTTTTAGGGCAACCTGGGCGTTTTTTTGTAACCCAATTACGTATTTGAAGTGAAACAGTACTTGCCTGTTGAAGACTCTCTATACGTGTAATTGCATAATGCATTACGAGGCCAAACTGTGCATTCTCTGCACTGTAAGCGGAATCCGCAACAGGCCAAAATCATATTTGTCGCGGAATCCGCAACATTGCTACTTTTCTTTGATGTTCTATGCTGTTTTGGATTCCAGAAACAAATACCTAAAACAATGTACCGCTCAAAATTGCTCCAAAAATAGGCGAATTTGCGGAATCCGCAACCGTATATGCAGAATCCAGAACAGTTCGTGGAATCCACATACAAATTATAAGTCATGAGTATAGTTTCATTGAGCTGTTGCGGAATCCGCAACTGTAAGCGGAATGCGCAAATTGTAAGTGGAATCCGCATTTTGTTTGCGGATTCCACTTATATTTGCGGATTCCACTTACATTTTGCGGATTCCACTTACATTTTGTGGAATCTACTTACAGTTGCGGAATCCAGAACAACTAGCTAAATTGGCTTGTTGCGGAATCCGCAACAAAATAAATGTGCCGACAAAATTTACGTTACAGCTATTTGTACGCGGAATCCACTGACATTTTGTTGGTGGAATCCACTTACATTTTGGAACATATATAAAGAGTTGTCTCTGGAATCCAGGAAAATACAGACACAAAATCAGGCTCCTATACAGTGCACAGTTTGGCCTCGTAATGTGTTTACGTGTAAGATATTTATTGACCGGAGTCTTGAAAGGAGGGTCATCAGTGCAAAGAACATTACGTTTAAGAAGACAAGAACCCTGTCGAAACCTGGTCACATATTCATTGATTGCATCAAGAATGTCGTTTGGGTTATACCATGTCCGAAATGAAATTAGGTCATGGGTTTCAAGTAGATAATTAAATAATTGTTTATTGGAGCTTCTTTGATCGCAAAAATAAGCAATTTCAAATTTGGCGACTTCATCACCATGACACGCTATTAAACCCATATTGTCGGTTTTAACTGTACTAGTGAAACGACTAACACTAGAAAAGTAGATATTATCCGAGCAGAGAAATTTATCAAGTCTATTGCTATCATGTGTAGGTTCCGTAAACATGTCATGCAAACCAGAGTCTAAGACAAGGTCATCAAGGGCCAATTTATTGAAACCTCCACAAAGGAAAATAATGCCAAAAGGGTGCTCGATACGAAACCTGATAGTTGAATGTTCAATGTGCTGCTTTGAATCGTTCTCATATGTAACATCAGGCGGGAAGTAAACCGTACACGATAAAACCTTACCATTCATATAAATAGAAAGCCAAAGTATCCAAATTTCGCAGAGTTTTCTGGCAACGATGATACATACGGCAGGTCATTTTTCACATAAACACAAACACCTCCACCCGTTGTATTCAGGGAGTTAAAAGATGCTCGATCGGCCCGATCGCCTTGTACCATAACAAATGTATTATCTACTTTGGATGTTAACCATGATTCACTGATGCATATGATATCTAGCCCATAAAAACTGATATCACACTGAGGTTCATACATAGCATTATCTTTATTTATGGACCGTGCCTTCGATAAACAAAATTTTACTTTGCGACAACTTAGTCATGCTATGTTTTGCTGGATGTAATGGAGAAATCATTTTAAATTATGCACTTTAATTCTATCCCTTGTTACATCCGAATCCATGAGTTTGTGGTGCTCAGCCAGCACACGTGATTCCGTTTGTCGTTCTTCGGGAGATTGCTCTCTTGAAATGAAAACGTTTTCTGGATAAGTTTAGAGTAAGTATAACTTTTACAAAATGTGTCCCGTGTCAGCCAAGGGTTCTTGAACCTGACAAGCAATGTTAGTAAGCATTATTAACCTCGGTTAGTTAGCATTATTAACCTTATATTTACCAACAAGCCGAAAGGTATCAATCATCGGCTCATTTGCACCTTCACCAATATGTAGCAGAATGTTTTAAATTGCTAGTAAATCTGCACGCATTCTGTCATTTGACTTCGGATTCGTTGGCTCTGAAATTCCGCTGACTCTGAGGCCCACGTGATGTTTTACGTCTGCTTTCTTAAAAGAAACAATATTTTCTGGTTTTTGATGCGAAATAT